ACCAGGCCTGAGCTGCAGGGCCCCAGCAATGGAAGACCTTGTCCTCTTTGTTTTCCTTCCCTTTTCCCTTGTGAAAGGCTTGGTGGTTTCTTTAAGACCTCTTTATCTGTGAGTTGAACAGTGGAGCCCAGGTTGCATCTGGAATTAGATTTGCTGGTTGGATCTGATTAAATATTTAACCAAAGCAAATAGGGAAGTGCTGCTGTTGCATCGAGGCAGCCTGTGAGCAAGAAACCTGCCTGTAGTTCATGCCTGGTACCTGGCCAGGCAGGAGCCTTACCTTCCATGCAGAGAGCTCCTCTGCTCCCCATGCATGTGCAGGGTGTGATTTCCCCAAGTAACAAACAAGGTATTTCTCTTGTAGCAGCGTGTGTATTTCTGCAGTTCTCCCCTTTTTGTCCTTTGGCTGTAACAAGTCCATTTGTGCTTTTATTTGCAAAGTCACTGTCCGGGGCTGACCTTTGTCCAGCTGCTCTCTCTCCCTTCTGCTTTCCTGCCCCTTGGAACCTCCTCTCTAACTGAGGTGCGGTGCTTTCCCTGCATGAGCACATCTCTGGGAGCAGAGTGTTTCATCCCTCTTCAGTGCAGCTGCAGGGCACCAAGAGCCTCTGTGCAGTGGGGACACAACAAGGCACTAAGGCTTTGTCCCATGGTGGCCTCTGTCCTTGTCCTCTGAAGGAGGCACGTTGGGCTGTCCATACCCTTCCTTCTCCAGGGCTGTGAGCTGGGGGACCTGCTGTGCTCTGTCCCACTTGTTCCCCTCACTGGGCTATCCTGAGGTTTGACTGTTTTGGGGTCCCTAGGTCCAGCGCAGCTACGAGCTGTCTTCCTGCACACAGAGCACGAGCAGAGGAAGTCAAAGACCATCACACAAGCCGACATGAAGGTGGAATTACTCCCAGCCCTCACAGACAACTACATGTACCTCCTCATCGATGAGGAAACGAAGGAGGCTGCAATAGTGGATCCTGTGCAGCCCCAGAAGGTAATGCTGTCTGCTGCCCTTGGGAGCAGGGTGCTCACTGCAGCGAGTCTGGGACATCCTTCCAGGTTGCCACATCCATGAGGGAATTAGTCACACGCTGACTCAGGCATGGGGCAAAGGCAGGAAATACCGGCCACGCACAGGTACAACAGGGCTTCACAGGCATCTGCTCCTGCACAGCTTGTCCCTGAATTCAAGGGTTATTGACCTGGTTTGGGGTTTTGCCCTTAGTTTGATGTAGTGCTTAGTCATTACTGGCAGGATCAGAGAGCTCGTGTCCTGATCTGTAATTACAACCTGGAGAGGGATGAGCTCTCTGCAGAGTTGCTGGTGTGGCTCTTGCAGACCTTAGAGCAGTTGTGTCTGGCTTGTACCAGGCACCAGTTGTGCTGTCAAGTCATTTCATGTGAGTTGTAATGCTGTTGCTCTGCCCTGTGCCTGCAGGTTTTGGATGCTGTCAAAAAGCACGGTGTGAGGCTGACCACTGTCCTGACCACCCATCACCACTGGTAACTATCCACCATAGTGGGATCCCTCTTTCTTCTGTGCAAACACAAGCAGTCAAGAATTGTTGCTTTTCTGGATCAAATTGGTCTTCAAGCAGCAGCTTAGGTGTGAGGGGAAGGGTTCCCTTGGGCTTGCTATGACCAGATCTACTGTCTAGACTGCAAGCTCTGTGTGTCAGTGCCTTTAACCTGTAAAATGCTGACTTCCTTCAGGTGAAATAGCTGTGTGTGAAGGGAGCTGTGGAGTGCACCTCACTCACACTGAGGTGCTGGGACATGCCTGTAAGGTGTGCTACTCAGTCAGCACTGGTGGGAGGATTACCTGTGTTGCAGATTAACTCTGCCAGGGATGTAAAGATGAATGTTTTGCTTCAGCAGTTTTGCAGTGCTGAACCTGAGCAACTTCTCCTGTGGGTCATAGTGGAGCCACCTCTGTGGCTGGAGAGCCAGCCCTGATCTGACAGCACTGTGAGCACATGCTGAGCTGTTGTGCCTGCTCTGTGGTGTCTTGTGGAACACTGAATTGCACATAGACCAGTTATCCCATCTCTTCTTGTCTTAGTTACTGGAGAGTTGACTGTAAGCCCCTAAGGCTGGTGTTTCCCAGCTAGGTATGAACTTGTGGAGAGTTGTTCCCCCTCTCAGTGATGTGATCCACTCATGTTGATGTGACATATCCCTTAGATACTGGCAGAACAGTTGATCAGAGATGATCACCTGGAGGTTACTATTGCAATACGAGTTACAATAAATTTATCTTCATCCCTGACCAAATCCATTGTTCTGCCCTTCCAGGGACCATGCTGGGGGAAATGAGAAGCTCGTGAAGATGGAAACAGGGTTGCGTGTGTATGGGGGGGACAGCAGAGTCGGAGCACTGACCCAGAAAGTGTCTCACCTTACATCCCTCAAGGTAAAGGGAGTGAGCTGCAGGACTTGGGGGCACCTGCAGTGTGTTTCACAGCTTTAGAGCTGGACTGATGTGGTCCAAGTTGAGCTAATGTTGTGGTCACAGCTCTTTTACCTTTTAACATCTTTTGGATGTAGCTGATAGTTTAAGCCTTGTTTTGGTGGGTGATATGGCACTGCTGGAAACACTGGCATGGCTCAGATACCTCATTGCCTGGAGCATGCGGGGTGTCCCTGAGCTCCTTGACAGCTGCCTTAACTGGGGTGCTCAGTACAGATCTGTGGCAGGACAGGGTTTGTGCTCTGTTTGAAGTGTAGTTGGCACTGGAAAAATGTAAGCTGTCCTTTCTGAAGGCTGGAATATGGGGGAAGAGAAAGTGGGCCAGCAGTGCTAGCTGCCTGCATTGCTTTTCCAGAGCTAGAGCAGCAGACCTTGTCAGAACCTCACTCTCTGCTTACAGGCAGATAACATAAACTGCTGTGAAATGTGCCTGCTGGCACGAATGGCACTGCTAGTCTTGGGGTGCACCTTTGGGTGGGGGGATCAGCAAAAAAGGGAGCAGAGAAGCACATTGGAAGGTGTGCAAATCAGGGCTGTGGGGGAAACATCCCCTTAGCCTCATGAATGTGTTTAATCCTTCCCTTTCTGTGAGCGTCATCCACTTCTTCCCTTCAGCTTCATTTTTGTTTGGAGCTTTTTACACTTGATTAACTTTGTTTAGGATTTTGTGTTGCTCAGGCTCTGGTTGCTCTTGCTGCCAACCAGACGCTGGGTCACTCTGCATGTAAATAAAAGACTCTGGCAGTTCTCTTTGTCAGAACACCTGCTAGGAGGAAACAGCTCCCTTCCAAGCCCCTGCCATAAACCTCTCTTGCTGGTCTCTCCCAGGAGCAGAGCTATGTGAGAATTTGCCTGTAGGACCACTAGGCCATTGTAATAGTTGCAATTCTTTGCTAACCATACAAATGCTAGCCAACAGTAGCTTAAGCTCTAGTCTTCTGCCTTCTTCTCAGGTGGGATCTCTTAATGTGAAATGCCTCTGTACGCCGTGTCACACTTCTGGACACATCTGTTATTATGTGACTAAGCCAAATAGCTCCGAGCCACCTGCAGTTTTTACAGGTGAGGAGTTGGGAGGTTGCATTGCCACAGTCTGTGTTGCAAAGGAATGAGCTACCCCTCTGCCTGTGTGCTCCTGACTCTGGACGTGCAGTCATCCCTTCCTGCCAGTGCAGCTGGTTAACATCCATGTCTTAGAATCATGGAATGGTTTGGGTTGGAAGGGACCTTAAAGCTCCTCCAGTTCCAACCCCCTGCCCCGGGTAGGGACACCTTCCACTAGAGCAGGTTGCTCCAAGCCCCTGTGTCCAACCTGGCCTTGAATACTGCCAGGGATGAGATCTTGCCCCCTTACCAATTGCTACCAAGTGGTAGTCGTAGCTGAAACTGGTGAAACCCCTCTGGGTTTGTAAACCACTGCTGGACACCCTGCAAGCAACATCAAGAGCGAGCCCTGGATGAGTCCTACATCAGTATTTTCTTCCTTGAAACAAAGAGCTGTTGGTTTACTGTCTCAGGCCAAACCGTGGCTGATTCCAAAACTTGTTGCTTTTCATATATTTGTGCTTATGTCTGTAACAAACCTGAGAGAAGAGAAAATAGGGGAGTAAGAGAGGGCTGGTGCTCCATCTCCTGTAGCTGCTTTTGGATCCTGTTTTGGAGAGTAGGGTCCTCCTATGCTCCCTGTGACTGTGCCCTGTCATGTCATCCCTCTCCTGATGTGCATTCTCCAGAGCTTGCAGCAGCTGCTACATGGAAGAAGTAATGGCTTAAGCAAGATTTTAGGGAGCACTGGGGAGAAAATGCAGAAGCGACTCACCTTTGTTCAACTTCCTAGCAAAGAACATGGGTTCCTCGTCCACTCTGGGAAGGACAGGAGGGGACAGCAGACCTTCTGCCGGTTTGCTTGGTGAGGTTGTGAGGTTTCCCACACTGGAAGTTGCATTTGCCACATGGGTTCGGGTAGCACATGAACAGCCTGGCTGTCCCCAGGCCTTCTGCAGGGCTGCAGCAAGGACAGCAGTGGCAGGACTGAGCCATCGGGGGCCCTGTGTGAGGAGCTGTGTCTGGTCCTGATGCCATGTCACCCTCCCTTGCAGGTGACACGCTGTTTGTGGCTGGATGTGGGAAATTCTTCGAGGGAACCCCTGAGGAGATGTACAGAGCTCTGATTGAGATTTTGGGCACCTTGGACCCCAAAACGGTACGAACCCTCCTTTTGTGCCAGCAAGTGAAACCAGCCACAATCTACTGCAGACATCAAAGAAACTCTCTTCCTAATAACACTGTTGTTCAAAGAGGGAATTTCTTACGAGCTGAAGGAATGAATGCTTACATCAGGAATTGTCTTTGATGCTGAATAGCAGGAGTGCTCAGGGAAGGAAATACCTATCCCATCTGTTTGTGCTTTGTGGGGACAGAGTAGGGGCTGCTTATTAAAACAAGGCTGATGAGCTGGGCCGCCCAGGCTCTTTCATCAGGCTTGCTGTGGAACTGGCAGATGGTGCTGGCTGATAATTCCTGGCACTTCTCCTGTGTGGGTCTCCAGTGGAGGGTATTGTCTGTCCTGGAGGGTTGGATACCTCGATGGTGGTACCTGGTGCTTTGCACCTTTAGGAAGTACCCAGTGTCACTCTTCTGTCTCTTCCTAGAGAGTTTACTGCGGTCATGAATACACAATCAACAACCTCAAGTTTGCTCGACACGTTGAACCCAATAATGCTGCCATCCAGGAAAAGCTTGCTTGGGCCAAGGTAAGCTTGCTCATCCTTGTCCTAGCCTTGATGCTTTCTTGGAGGCAGAGCCTCTCTGAGGAGTTGGAGGAGAGAAGACATTGCTGAGGAGAAAGGGAGGCTGAGGGAAGGGAGTTAAGAGCCAGGAGTTGCAAATATGCATCCAGGGGAGTGATGTGTTGGGAACAGGGTTTGTTTGTGGCCCAGAGAAGACAGTTTGCTGTGTGGTGGAGGTGTGACCCTCCCTGGAAGCTTCTTGGTATAATTACAGGCTGATGTCCATGTCTGTCTGGCAGCGTGTGTCTCCCCAGTGTCTCTGTGTGCACCTCAGTGCTTGCTGGCTGTGTGCTGCCCTGGGAAGGGCCTGGCCTGAGGAGCAGCTCAGGCGGTTCAGGGCAGCACTGACCCTGCATGGTCCATACACAGGACATTTCTTGTTCACCAAAACCTGCTCACGAAGCAGAAATCTTTTCCTTGTTACAGGCAAAGTATGACAGTGGTGAGCCAACCATCCCCTCCACCATTGCAGAAGAGTTTACGTACAACCCCTTCATGCGAGTGAGGTATGGAGCGGATATGGGGCTGTTCCTTGTGTTGGGAGGGGGATGCGGGAAGGGGAGGTCTCCAGAGAAAGAGCTGTGAGTGGGAATTGCTCTTCTGCCTCATGTCTTCCTGTTCTGATGCCCTCAAGATGCTCCTTCAAATGCACTTGCTGTCCTGGCAGAAGCTTGCTGCAGTGCAGCATGAAGGGTTGTGGTGAGCATCTCTGCCAGTGCTGAAGTCCCTGACTCAGGAGACAGAACAAGCTTCATTGTGTAATTACATTCCCTCATAAAACAGAGTTTGGCAGCAGAAGATGCTGTCCAAGGCACAAGAGCATTTCCAATTTCCTCTTGCCATTGAGCATTTAAACCAAGGGAGCCGATAAGCCTGTGCCAGAGCCCCGAGTCTTTCATCTTTAAGTGCAACATTTCCCCTTGATGCAGGCGGAACGTGATAGTACTGACTTCATCTCTGAGATTTTATCTTGCAGTTCTTGCATGTGTTTTTCCCTGGTGTTTTCTCCTGGCAGGGAGAAGACAGTTCAGGAGCATGCTGGGGAGACCGACCCCATCCGAACAATGGGGGCCATCAGGAAAGAGAAGGATAACTTCCGAGTCCCGAAGGACTAAGCACTGCCTGGATCACTTTAATGTCAGTTTAAGTGTAATTTAGACTGTTCAGATGTCTTAGGAGTTGAACCTTCTGTTGTGATTGAGACAGTCATATTTAGGCTTTTATTTTGTTTTAATTAAGGTAAAAAGAAGCACTTTGCCCTTGTTGAGATGTTCTACAGCATATTTATATTATGATGAAGAATATTTATCCTTCTATTGCTGGCTCTCAAAGTGTCATATGTGTCACATGCAGATCATTTTCCAAGTGTTGGTACGTGGCTCAGAGCCTGGGGTGGGGAAGGGTCGAACTTTGAGGTCTAGGAAGAAGCTCCTGTCCTTTCTGTAGGAGCCTGCTGCAGATGCAGACAGTGGGCCTGCAGCCTCAGATGTCTTCATTTAAAACAGACAAAATGCAGTGACTGCATTGCCAGCTGAGGAGTTGAACTTTCCTGCCGTGCTGCTACTTAAATGCCTCCAAGCCTGGCACCTGTGGCTCCACTAAAACCAGTTCTCAGTGTCAGCCCTGCACTGCTGGTGCAGGGCTCGGGTGGTGACATCCTCTGGCTCTGACCATGGCACCCAGCTCTCTTCTCTCTGACATTCCCTCCCCTGGGCTGCAGTAGCTTTCCCAGGCAGCTGCTTAGAGGTTGCGCTGTTGCTTATACCCTTCCACTCTTAAGCCTGTTTGCATGTGCCTGCTTACTGCTCTTAAGTGTGACCTGTATGTTATTAGTACCACACAAACGAAGAAGGGATTTGTCTGCTGGCTTAAAATCCTGAGAAGAAACCAGTTACCTAGTGACTAACTGTGTGCCTAACTGCTGAGTGGCCATGGGACTCCTCTGCTGATGCCTCGCTGCTGAGAGCCAGAGCAGCTGCTTTGTGCCTTGCTGTGAGTAACAGGGCAAGTGAGTATTTTACTACCTGGGTGCAGTTCCCCAGTGGGAGAGACTCTGGCTTTGGGGCTGTGTGTGCTGGGGGACTGATCACCAAAAGGGTGCTCAGGCATTGGAACAGGCTGCCCAGGGTAATACTGGAGTCACCGTCCCTGCAAGTGTTCACACCCCGTGTAGCCGAGGCCTCAGTGCCAGGGGTTGGTGGTGGCCTTGGCACTGCTGGGAATGGTTGGACTGGATGAGCTGAAAGGTCCTTTCCAAGCGTGTGTCAGAGTGAGTGAATGGGATAAACTTTAGGGGAAAACAAATCCAGATTTGCAGTGAGGGGGTCACCCCATCCAGCTTGGTGTCTTCAAACATGAGAGGTACGAGTACAGGGTGAGGAGCATCCTGTGGGCTTGGCATCTGTGTCTGTAACGCATCTTCCTCCTAATGGTGTCTCCTTCCTTGTCTCATGCTCTCTGCTTGCTGCAGATCTGCTCAAGTACAAGAGGTTTTCAAACAAATCTTTTGCAGCTAAAACTAACAAAAGTGTCAAACGATTTTGGTTCTGGTTTCTCTCCCTCTCCCCAGTGCGTGTTGGTAAGTAACCCTGCGATGGATTGTCACCTGGGGTCCCCAGGGTGACTATGGGCTGCTGTTCTGAGTGTCTGAGCGGGGCTTGGGGTAGCACCATTTATTTGCTTTAAAAAGGTAGATTTGATGTAGTTCAGACAGAAAAGTGGTACCTAAATCTTCTCTACCTTGAATGCTGTGCTGCTGCAACAGAGCGTGACTGTACTGGTGGCTGTTTGATGAAGAGCAAATAAATGACGATTGTAAACCCAGCGTCGGGGGGGCTGCAGGAGGGGGGGCTTCTATCTCACTGTGTTACTGATTTAATTCTTCTGTACTAGTGATTGAATCAACCAACTGGAAGCATTCTCCGACCTAATCCTCATACTCTTAATCTAGTAACACTGCATGAGGTGGTTCCAGCCACAGGCCCCCTCTTCCCATCCCAGTACCCAGATAGTACCAAAGCATGGAAGGGTCATGAGGAGGCCCAGGGGCTGCAGTGAAGCCTGAATCGATTGGGAGTTAAAAATCCCAATTTCCCCAATTTTTGTAGAAGTCATGGGGTGTTGAGTATATGGATGGTGTGGAGGGACTAGACCGTCTTTATAGGCCCCTTCCAACCCAACCCATCCTGTGATTCTGTTACCCAAGGGGGTATTTTGGGCTTGATTCAAGGTCTTGGTACAGCTGGAGCCATGTTCACTGCTTGCTTCCTGCGTGCAGGGGCCGTTCCCTCCTTCACGTGTGGCATTTGGGGGACCACAACAACCCCAAACCAGCGCTCGTGCCCGGCTGGGAATGGAGCTCTGCTCCGTGCGTGTCCACCCTGTGCCTTTGGTGCTGTTTGGGCTGCAGTGGGTGAGAGCCCCTTCCCTCCTGGTGCTGTGCTCCTGCTGCACAGCGTCCGGATGTGTCCCTGCCCTCGTGTTGGTGCCACCTCCCATTCCTGGTGGGAGCTGACCCCCCCAGCCCTGCCGCAGCCCCTTGTCCCTCTCCCTGGAGCACACTGGCCATGGCTGCTTCTGCCTCTGGAGACCTCTGTTTCGGGGCGTGGGGGGACCCCGCTGGGGACACCCCATGCCCCGGTCCCCCGGTGCTACCCGGTTGCGGGCTG